GCACTAATCACCGTATCAGAAAATGTTAGCCTAGCCTAAAAATAATTAGAATATTTAATAGCCTAAATCACCTTATTAGAAAGTACCAGCATTAAAAAAATAATTGAGATATTCTAATAGCCTAAATCACCTGACCAGGAATGTTACCATCATTAAAAAAATTATATATATTTTAATAGCCTACATCATCTTATATAGAACGGTTACCATCATAAAAGAAGAGCAATGAAATTCTGATAGCCACACCACCTTATCCGAAACACATACACACCAAAATACAAGAACTTTCTGGGCTGCACAACTTTTTGTTGGCATACACACACATGAACCAGTACATAAGATGCACAGCTGTATACTGTTACCAAAAACCTAACGACAACAGAAATATGAAATCAGACATCTGTACTGTAAGCAAGGAAACGAAGCAAGTTGACGAGGCTGTAAGGACTCCGTGTTCTCAAATGGCTTCTGTGTGCCTGACAAACTGTGCTCCTTGTCCAAAATGTCCTCCCGAGCACTTTGGGCTCTACATAGTTTGTCTATACATAACACAGTAGCTAGGAGCTCTTATGATAGCCTAACCACCTTATTAGAAAATGTACAGCATTAAAAAATATTTAGAAGATTCTAATAGCCCTAATCACCTTATCAGAGAAATGTTACCAGCATAAAAATTAATTAGAATATTTTAATAGCCTAAATCACCTTATTAGAAATGTTACCAGCATAAAAAAATAATTAGAATATTCTATACGCCTACTCACCTGACAGGAATGTTAGCCATGCATTATATATATATTGTTAATAGCTACATCAGCTATAGAAAATGTTACCATCATTAAAAGCATATCCATGATATTCTGATAGCCCAAACCACCTATCAGAAACACATACACACCAAAAATAACAAGACTTGTCTGGTCTGCACAACTTTTGGTTGGCTACACACACATACAGACATAAGAATGCACAGCTGTATACTGTTACCAAAAACCTAAAGACAACAGAAATATGAATTGCAGACATCTGTAATGTAAGCAAGTAAACGAAAGCAAAGTTGACGAGCTGTAAGGACTTCCGGTTCTCAAATGTGGCTTCTGTGGTGCCTGACACTGTGCTCTTTGTCGAAATGTTCTACGTAGCGCATGTTTCGCGACAGAGCTCTACATAACACTGTAGATGGATGTTTGATAGCCTAAACCACTTTATCAGAAAATGTTACCATCACTAAAAACAATAATTATGATATTTTCATAGTCTACACCACGTTATGCAGAAAATGTTACATCACTAAACCAATAATATGATATTTCATAGTCTAAACCACTTATATCAGAAAATGTTACCATCACTAAAAAATAATTATGATATTTCATAGTCTAACCACTTATCAGAAATGTTACCATCACTAAAAAACTAATTATGATATTTTCATAGTCTAAACCACGTTATCAGCAAATGTTACCATCACGAAAACAATAATTATGATATTTCATAGTCTAACCACTTTATCGAGAAAATGTACCATCACTAAAAACCATATTATGATATTTGTTCATAGTCTAAACTCACTCTTATCAGAAATGTTACCATTATTAAAACACTAATTATGATATTTCATAGTCTACCACTTTATCAGAATTTTAAATGTTACCTATCACTACCAAAAAATAATATGATACTTTTCATAGTCTAAACCACTTTATCAGAAAATGTTACATCACTAAAACAATAATTATGATATTTTATAGGCTAAACCACGTTATCAGAAAATGTTACCATATATTAAAAACAATATTATGATATTTCATAGTCTAAACCACGTTTATCAGAAATGTACCATCACTAAAAACAATAATTATGATATTTTTATAGGCTAACCACTGTATCAGAAAATGGTACCATTAGTAAAACATACTTATGAGATTTCATAGTCTAAAACCACTTTATCAGAAACTGTTACCAGCACTAAAAACAAGAATTATGATATGTTTATAAGCTAACTTCTCAGAATGTTTCCGATTATTAAAAAAATATTATATATTGCATAGGCTAACCACTTTATCAGAAATGTTAGCCATCACTAAAAACACTAATTATGATATTTTTATAGGCTAAACCACTTTAGCAGCAAAAATGTTACATATTAAAAAAATAATTCTGATATGTTCATAGTCTAAACCACTTATCAGCAAAAATGTTACCAGCATAAAAAATATTATATGTCATAGTCTAAACCACTTTATCAGAAAATGTTACCATCACTAAAAACAATAATTTGATATTTCATAGTCTAAACACACTTTATAACAGAAAATGTTACCATCACTGAAAAACCAATGATATTTTGATAGCCTCAATTACCTTATCAGAAACTGTTACCATCAATAAAACAATACGTAGGACATTTATCAGAAGGTCAGTAGTAATATTAAGCTGGACAGCACATAAACTGACACAGACGTGATGTAACCTAAAGCTGAAATAACATTAAAAACACAGGTTACTGTAAACTACAGTAATGGTGTGCGCATGCTCAGTAGGACCGCTCGATTGGGAACTGTTGTAACATGGCCTCCTATGGCGTACATTTTATAGCTGTTCTACGCAGAACAGATTTCTGGGTAGGACAAAACTCAAAGCTCAAACACAGTTTATCTAATACACGCGTTAAACTTTAACCACGACCATAAACAAAAGATAATGAAGCTGTTAAGCAGCTACTGTGTCACTGATAACACAAAAAGCTGAATAAATTCATAAATGTGTCGGAGTTCGGGTTGCTGGTCTGGGGCAACGTTTCCACCGCACTTCCGCTTAACATTCCGTTATACTTGTTTATGTGCTGGGATGCTGAATTCAAGGTAAACAAGCAGTAATATTCTCTTTTTAAAGCCCTGAAAGTGTATTTAAGGTTACAGTAGCGTTTACTCTGCGGACTGAATTGTTGGTAATCAGTATTTTTTTTACTTTCGTTTTCGCCGATGGCGCAGCAAGACACAGTCCGCCGAAAAAACGGACGACTCACCTCCGAGAGTGGAAACAAACCCTCCACACAGTAAAACAGCGCAGATTAGCGTGGACACCCCCATCGTCGCCTTAGACGATCACAAGAGTCACTTTGACGATCCGTTTGTAGAGAAAAGTCGATATTTTTGTCGCTCTCCGACGCGCCGATCCCCTCCGTTGAAGAAGACAAAGCTTGTAAAGAAACCTTGCGCGAATGGACCAATAGAAAAAAGGCTTTTCTCGACGTCACTCGTTGCTGAGTAGATTAAGTGCTACAGTTTTTCCCGCCCGTTTCCTGGAAAAACCCTTGCGCACTTTGATTGGCTAGTAGGATCACGCTTCCCGTGGTAGGATTGGCGAGAGGTCCGTGCTCAACAGCGGTCCACCAATCAGAACACGAGTGCAGAGAACTAAATAATGCCGCTCGTTGCGTCACTTGTTGCTAGGCCGATGCTGCGGTTTGAGGTTAGAGCTTGAGCTGAAACCTGGCCGGGGGGAAGAAATGAGTCAGAAAAGAAGACTGAAAACACTCACCTTCCACATTTACAGGGCCAAAAACAACAGAGCAAAAGACAAACTGTTAAGTCTTACATATATTCATAGGTCACATTAAATTTTTCAACAGAGCCGTTTAATAAAAATAAGATCCAACACAACAATTTCCAAGTTTTGTTAAATTCAGTGTGCATATATTTGTTTATTGTACATAAACCATAAACAGGTGTATATGAATAATGTATGAATGATATAGGTTTAAAAAAATATATTAAATAAGATATCCGCTTTATTGCATAAAGTACCTTTTTTTGATCACAGTTCACTATTCTACAAAAGTCTTAAATGATAGCTTACAGTTTTAGCCCCCTTCAGACTGTGCTTTAAGTTTAATCACTCACCTTGGTGTACAGTACTGTATGGAAAAAATCAAAAACACACCATGTCAGATGTAATTTAATTAAAAGTAGAAACATGAAAGAAAATAGGTCTGTGTAGCCCTCTATATGCATCCCTGCTGAAAAGGACCAGAACCAATTGGTTTTGCTTTCTAATTGGAATTGGCCTAATGGCTTCCAAAAGAGACCACCAGTGTTGTTGTTTTTGTTTTTTGGAGAATACCTTTAGCTCTCATTAGGAAATCAAATGCACTTAGAATCAGCCACGGGTCACCTGATAAACCATTAGGATCCTTTAAACTGTGATATCAACTCGCTGAAAAAGCCAAAACACATTACAAAACCATCATAAACCAACAAAAACACAATGGTTTCTAAGGATTTTTTTCATAAGGATGTTCTTAAAAACATTAAAATCAGTACACTTAACCGTAAAAGTGAGCTAATAAAGAAATATATATTTTACCATATGTTGAAAGAACAATGTATGAGGCTGTTATTTGATGCTTCTGAGCTGCCAGACTGTCTACTTTTATCATTATCAGATGTGTAATACAGTGTTTTTAAAATGTGAAGGATTTCTGTCAAAGGGTGCATATCACACATTTTTCATGTGTTGTATTTTTTTCCTGGGCTGTTTTTGCAGTTTAGTTTCTGTGTATGGATTGTATGTACTGGGAACACTACATTTTGAGACTTTAACAACATTTATGTTAAAGTTGTTTCAAATTGAACAGTTGCTAATTTAAAAAGGCATGAAGAATTCAGTTCCCCATGATATGGGCCCTTCAACATAACAGAACGATGAAAAAGTGCTGACTCAGCGTTGCTGGTGTATAATCCTGGATGATCTGGAGCTCAGTTCCAATGGACAACAAGCTGCTGTCTGATGTCAACTTGCTGTCTGATGTCACACTTATCAAATGAATCATTCTTCCTGAGGAGCTCCCTGTGAAGTATAGTGATTACATCATTGTTATATACACTCCATCCACTTTATTAGAAACACCAGCCATGTACTTTCACTAACTGGCCACTTTATTATAAAAAACCCATCTTGTACTTTCACTCTTATATTCTCAATATCTCTGTAAGATATAATTGTTCAACCAAAATGCATAACCAGAGAAGAACGTCATACTCTATTAGTCAAAACTTTGAACTTGCATGCTTAAAATGATTTTTTTCCATGATATTCCATGCTATAGATGGTATAAACATCTCTATAATAAATTAAATTATATATATTATATTTTCATTGTGTTATATAAATAATGTAAATTTTAATGAACAGCCACCAAAGCAAGAGGATTTGAGTCTGAAGAACAAGTTAAAAGAGCAATTAAGAAGTAATCTGTTGAAATCATACTCCACACAGTCCCTCCTCCTCCCTGTTTACTTACCAGTGTAGATGAAATGTTGTGAGTTCAGCATCAAACTTCATCGCTTTACTCGCCAAGAGATGCACTCTCCAGTGGTGGAAAGCAGCACCAATGCTAACTCTTGTTTTGCTTCTATTTATGTCACGGCTATTTCTTTATCCTCTCATATTAGACTAATGACTACAGTAATTAGCTATCACCTCTTAAGGCACAATGTGGTATTAGCCGGGGCTAGCTGGTTTGCACGCTAACTTTAGTAGATATCTCTGTAACACGGCACATAGACGTCTTTGACATTTTAGTTAGTTTTGGAATGTTTTACATTAAAATCTTTCAAACTGTGCCTTTAATTAGCTGAAAATCAAGAACTTATTTTAATTTAAAGAAAATGTTTGTTTTTTTACGTTGGATCATGCTTATCTGTAACTGTTTTATGGGGTAAAAACATCAATTATGAAAATGTGGTTTCCAGTAAGTGGTAAATGTACTCAAACTTTTGACTGGCAGTGTATAAACATTCCTGTCCAATCCACCCACTCTGCCCCTTTCAGAAACTATTCAACAGTTTCATGTATATCTACTGTATGTTTCTAATTTCAGCCACATGATTTCACATTTACAGACTACTTACAATCTTCTATCCTGAAGGAGTTTGAACAGACAGCAGTGCTTGCTCTTCATCTGCTGGTTGATCATTTGCCTCTCTGTTAGGATCATTGGGCGTTCCCTCCATCAAAGAGGTGGTTTCATCAACGTTATCCACACTACCATGTGGTGACCCACTGCTTCTAGAACCTGAAAAGCAAGTTAATTCTCTGAGTATCTCAAATAAAGATCAAATGTCCTCAAAGCTCTGCTGTGTAAAGACTCTGTAGGATCCTCCAAAATTCACACTCTGATACTCTTACAGTGTGTTTTCTCAAAGACACTACAGATATTTACCAACGATAAACAATGAATCACCATTAAAAGCTAAAACTGATCTCAGACATTCATCCAGGAGAAACATTACCAGAGTCAGATGAAGCATCAGAGTTAGCTGATACGTTTTCAGTGCTGCTCTTATTTGATCCCCTTCCTGAAACAGACACAGTCAGGCCACATCACAGCTGAGTTACAGTGGACACTCATTAATTAATTACAAATATCACTCATATTAAATGGTTTTAATATTGAATATTATTACCTGAGTCAGTGTCAGAACCACCAGCTGTAGAGACAAATAAAATAAAACATGCATTAAAATGGAGAAAGTAGAAAAAACACAGAAAATAATGAGAGCTACATTTCTCAAACAGTGTAAATGCAACTCACTAATTTCTTTATTATTGCATTGCCTTTCAGAAACAATTTTGAGATTCAGTTAATTTAAATTATTTTAAGGCTTAAGCCTTCAAATATAAGCTGTTGCTTCAAAATTGTTTAAAACTTTTGGCTTTGATTGTATAAAATCAGGGGTCTCATTTAATAAAACGTCTTTAGAACATGTACTGGCATTCATCAATTCCTACACTGATCTGCTGACACGCTCATTTACATAAAGATACTCCCCAAATAGCCATACACAGCAAACCTAAACTCCCTTTAAAATCCCCAGTTGCCTTTGAAGCAACTGAGAAGCTGAACTGAAACGTTGTGTCTAAAAATTTGGTTCTCACATGTAAAAATACAACTTGCCATTTAACATGTAAGAAGTATGACATATGAATATGACATGATTATTATAATTGCAAGTGATTATTTATTTAATTCATCTACATAATTAATTGATACTTATAAAAAAAAACACTGAGAAAAGAGAGAGTTTAGCAAACACATAAGAAAGAAAATAAGCTCAACATGCCATATCATTATCCATTTGAAGGCAAAAAAAGTTTTTGAACTGGTATTTTCTAATTCTATGGGTTTATTTTACACTATTTTCTAAGCAGGTTTTGTCTGAATAATGAATTAACCATTGTCTTTCCCAAATCTATTGTGAAAGCAGTTGCTGCTTTACTAAAGCTACTCCTTACATTTATGCATTGCTGCTGTTACAGCCATGGTCTGATGCACTGAGCTGAAAGGGCGAGCTGACCACAAGTTCAAATCATGAGTTCGTGTTGCACTCTAAGGGTAGTCTAAGGGTATTCTGGATATGTGATGTTTAAAAATGCAGTGGACAAGCAATCCTTCAATAACCTTTAATATCTCAGCTGAAAAATTTGCAATGTTTTCGTATTAATACTCACCAGGAGTTGCCAGAACAGTTGCTGGTTCACTCTGTGTATTGCCTTTTTCTGCAACCACAGAGATGCTGTACGAACAACCAGATTCCAGATGGTCAATTTCAATACAGTCTTCTTTAGATGAGACCTCAATCTGATTTAATCCATTTGTCTGACTCGGTGAAACCCTGACAATGTATCTGTCAATCTTTCCCTTTGCTTTCTCCCACTTGATCATAACAGATGTTGGGGTGGTCTTCACAACTTTGAGGTTTGTGGGCTCAGAGATCACTGAAAAGGAAATACATGTAATTGCAGTTATAGTTGCTATTGAGAAGTTGGAGACAGAGGAAAATGTTTGATAAGAAAAGAGGATAAATTTATATTTATTGTACTGCCTTGATTTTTAGCTGCACATATCCAGCTAACTGAGAAGTCCTGCTGTGTAAAAAATTGGCAGTAATAATATATGAGTTACAGTAATCTCAGTTTTGACTGTCAACAAAAATTATAATCTTTGGCAGAGACATGATTTCTACTGGTTTACAAAGATAAAAACGTGATGAAAATGAAACAAGCAATTCCCTCAGCATAAAGATCTCGCAGAAATATGACAATCAAAATGCCACAGATACGTAAGTGGAGTTTAGTTTTTCATTTTATGTGAAAGTTTCTCCATACAGTTAAGCAGTTAAAAACAGCAATAGCCACCACCATGTTTGTGTCATATACAGAATCCTACTGGGAAAGATTAGTCACTGTACACTTAGCAGTATAATGCTGCACTAAATAGCTTTAGCATTAGCTCATCTGCAGGGGGCGGTACCAATCACTCAAAGCTTCCTCATCCAACCTGACAAACTGCTGTGTTATAACATCTACTGGCTGAAAGATTCATTAATATTAACATGGTTTAGCGTTAAAATTTGTTTTACTTTAAACTGGCTTTTTTATTTATATTATCTAAATTTTTATTTATTTAAATGATCTCAACCATCAGATGTATGTCATTGAGAATTTGGTAAATCTGGTTTATATTTGAGTATTTATTTTAATGTTCTCCTCTTTGTGCTGCTGGACTTTAGCTGCTGTGGATGTTCTGGACTCCAAGCACTCTGTTGCACTTTGCATGTTCTGTTTCTGCCACAGTGCTAATAGTTCCTAAACTTGACCACCAGCCTTCATTGATTTTATAGATTTATATATGAATAAATAGATTCATATATAAATAGACCATTTCTATTGGTACGTTCATCTTGAAATTTCAACACATTGTAAAAGACAGTTTGCATTTTTAAACTGTTTAAAATTGACAAAAATGAAAGTGAAAGTTTTGCTGCCTGACAGCAACAATATTTATACAGTCTTATGCAAAAGTCTGGGTGCCCCAGTCAAATGACATGTGTTAACATGTGTTTTTTAGTTTTTTTGGACTTAGTGTAAATAAATTAAAACATCCCCTACAGAGACATAATTCTGCAAACATTTTCGCTTCTTATTTGTTGAATTAAAAAATGTCACCTGTGCAAAAGTTGCGGCACATTTAACATTTTGCAAACACAAAAAATACCATAGTAACCATTTGGCAACACCCTAGCAGCCATCTGGAAACTGCTTAAGCTGCACAATCACTCTGCATTTTCTTCAGGAAATGCACATTTCAAGTTTTTAAAAGAATTCCTACAGTTATCATTTTGATACAGTTCCCCTAAAATTAGATTTGTCTTGGAATCCAGTAGTGAATCTCCATAGTGTCCAGCAAGCTGTTGAAACAAGGCTGTAACTGCCGTCTTCACCATCAGTCCTACCTGTAATGTCTCAAAAGAAAAATGGAGGTCAATACTTACTAGTAGTCGCCTCCACAGTTGCTGGTCGGCTCCGTGATGTGCCTCTTTCTGCAAACACAGAGATGTCGTACAAACAACCAGGTTCCAGATGATCAATCAGGGCAGAGTTTTTCCCAGACGGCACCTCGAGCTCCTGACTTAAAACTGATCCACTTGTCTCACTCGGTGAAGCCGATATAATGTATCTGTCAATCTTCCCCAGTGGTTTCTTCCATTGGACCTCAAAAGATTTTGGGGTGGTCTCCACAATTCTGAGGTTTTTGGGTCCAGCTGAGAAAGACAGTGTACATGCAGTTATAGTTGCTGTTGAAATGATGGATAGAGGGGAAAGGTCAGTAACAGAGAATGTCTGTGGTGAATAGTACTAGGAAATAGTGGTGGTGAATAGTACGAGGCTTTGCTTGTGTGAAATAAGATGTGCTAATCACATTATCTTATGTTGTTAATCTAGATCAATCACATTTGTCTTATTTGCTCAAAGAGAAATTTGTTTCTGTTTAAAGGCAGTGCATTTTGTTATAGCTATATGAAAGTGCAAAACATGTACATGTATTTACTATTTTCAATAATTCAATAAGATTATTTTTGCAGTGTGGACCGAAGTTTTCTATAAAAAAGAATATGAAAATCATGAGATTTTCAGAGTGAACACAATTTAGAGTATATATATATATACACACACACACATATGGTAGTAATCTATCTCTTTTGTTCATACAGCTCATGGAGATCTCGATAGTTTGATAATTAGATAGCATAGTCGGCTGAAGGCGCTGAAGGTTTGGCTTTGAAGCCATTTAAAGGTTGTATTTGAACAAATGGCCCAATTGTGGATTCCTTCAAATCAACATACAGTGCTCTGAAGCTGGGTTTCAGTCTGAACTACTACAGATGGACTGAAGGGTCAAACTAGGAAAATACAATTTGTGGCATTAATAAATTACTGCATCAACTTTGACAGCCCTAGTTTGTACATGTGATGCTTAGAACTATGAAAAAAACAGTGATGTTCATCATCTGGATGTCCTGCATCATGCTGTAAAAAGGATTTAAAAAGGACTGAAAATTATAATTTTTTATTTAATAAATAGAACATGAGAAGAACTGTACCATCACAACCACACCACCATTTGGTTGCAGATCATCACAGTCTTAATGTAACTTGTGATAACACACAACATTGAGTGTTATTGCTTTTAAGCAAATGTTTTACAAACCAAATAAATATTATTTCACTGTATTTTCTGTTATAGATAGCACAGTAAAGTGCCGAAGTGCAGAAGTCCAATATAAAATCTTATATTGGACTTCTGCTAAATATTCAACTTTCTCTCCTCAATTTCTCATGAAACAAATATTGAAAAATGATCTGAGAAGACAGAAAACAATCTACAATGTTTCAGAAAGGCAGACGCTTTAGTCATTAACAGAACATCTAAACAGTTCAAAACGCAGTAAAGAGAATGGCCTCCTTTAAGTCAACTACAAAGCCCAGTTAAGAGACGCCACTCTGTTTATTACAAGTGAGATTTTGCCCTCTTTTAGCAAAATACATGAGAAATAAAACTTATGAAGACAGTACATACTTTTTAGATGGTCCCTTAATGACTAACACACCAGTTATCCGCATTTCTCAAGGCCCCCCTGTAGCTACTCCTCTGCCTAGTAGATCTTGTACTTTGTGAATAAAAATATAAAGCTGATAAAATACAGAAAAATAATGATTTTATTTCTATTCTTTCAGCCAAACCAGATGTTTATGCATTTTCAAAGAAATCTACAATTAATTCGGGCAAGCTGACCCTGACCTGCATTTTTAAACTGTTTAAAATTGACAAAAATGAAAGTGAAAGTTTTGCTGCCTGACAGCAACAATATTTATACAGTCTTATGCAAAAGTCTGGGTGCCCCAGTCAAATGACATGTGTTAACATGTGTTTTTTAGTTTTTTTTGGACTTAGTGTAAATAAATTAAAACATCCCCTACAGAGACATAATTCTGCAAACATTTTCGCTTCTTATTTGTTGAATTAAAAAATTCATTTCCATATGATCATGTTTTGTGGACTTTAACAAGAGATTCTTCTGAAATATATTTTATTGTTTTTGTTGGCTTTTTTAGGAGTGAGACAATGTAGTTTTGATCATTTTTGAATGTTTATTTCATGAGAAATTGAGGAGAGAATGTCTAATATCCAACAAATGTTCAGTGTAAACTGACTTTACTGCCCTGTCACAGACAGACCATGAAACTGTCAGAATCTCAGGTTCAGCTGAGCTTTTTCAGTACTTCAGTATGTGCTAGAGTTACTTCATTGTCGTGTTCAGTCAGTCTGTAAAGTATTTCACAGCCCATTCTGTTCACTTCTGTTTAATTCCAGTATGTTTAGTTCTACTGTCACTACTTTTGTTGTAAAGCAGTCAATACTTAGCAACCAGTGGAAATTGTTAAAAAACATGCTGTTATCACAGATAACGGCAAGTAGAACACTTCTCAGCCAATCAGACTGTGCTGTCAGAACTGACTGTTGTCTAAGTAAGGGTTTTTCTTTGGTCATCTGACATAGAAGTACATTTTTAGAGTCCATATTCTTTCTGCTTTGAACAGAATCTGAATATAATCTCCAGAACATGAACTCAGTTTATACTCACCCTTTCGCATCACAATAAAGATGACGACTCCAACCAGCACAGCCAGCACAATCACACCTACAACTCCTCCAATAGCCAAACCCAGACCACCCTGAGAGGGAGGGCCCTCTGTAGACACATAAATGATGAACAAAAATCTGAGCCACATTTTTTAAATAACAAAAAACAGTTTTTGAAATGAAAGTTTGCAAATGGAGTAAATGAACTGTAGGAACAGCAGATGTAACTCTGAATCTGAAGTATGGCCTCCTCATCTACAATGAATCTGTATAGAGATCTTATACTGATCAACCCGACTGCATTACGCTACTGAAATTAGAGACGTTCCAGATCAGAACGGCTTTATTCCAATGTATGAACGTTGACATATGAACTTTGACCTGGCTGAGAGAACGCTACGCTCAGGGTTTCTTTCTGTCCTAATTCTAGAGAGTCTTTGTCCAAGCCCAACACAAGTTTATTTGAAAAGTTGCTGTATGAGGACATACGTATATTTTCCCCTTATGTAGAATTAGTCCCAATGGTTTAGGAAGGGTTAATGGGGAAATGTGTCATTGTTACCAATATTTCTACATTTATTGATTAAAGTCGGCAATATTTTGCAGTTCTGTGTCATAAGCAGCCTTATACAATTAAAAAAAGGTAATGTCTGGTCTAGTCTCTGTACATCTGCTGTACCATTAAGCAGCTTATACTTATAAATCTGCTAAGAATGCCAAGAATCGTAAATGTAATTACCCCATTTTGTAATTACTGGTTCTGCGAGGGTGATATGATTCACATAACAGTCGTAATCTGCTGTATCATCTTCCTCAATGTCCACACTCTTCCTCAGCTGGTAGGTTCCATCATCATTGGGTCTGACTCCTGAAGATGTTAGTAGGTGTTCAGGCAGTGAAGTGCGAAACTTCCTCACACACAGCTTCACGTCTTTGGGGTAGAAGCCCGTGGCCAGGCAGGTCAGGGTCAGCTTGCCCGAATTAATTGTAGATTTCTTTGAAAATGCATAAACATCTGGTTTGGCTGAAAGGATGGAAATAAAATCATTATTTCTCTGTATTTTATCAGCTTTGTATTTTTATTCACAAAGTACAAGATCTACTAGGCAGAGGCGTAGCTACAGGGGGGCCTTGAGAGGCCTAGACCTTCTCACTTGGATGCCAGACTCTCCCAGATCTCTTTATTGTGCCCTTGTGTCCTTTTCCACTATAAACAAATAAAAAAGCATGTAGGTCTTTTGGCAGTTTGTTGAAGACTGGGAGAGTGAAGCAGAGCCATCAAACCGACGACAAAAAATTTTGTATTGTTTGTCTTTCTGGTGGCTGAAAAGCTCCTCTCCAATTGTTTTTTCAATGCTGAAATGTTATACTGCCTGACTGGAGATTGTGGGAGATTATCTGAGCTGTGCTGTGCTGTTCTCTCTCTCTCTCTCTGGTACAGGGGCTGCCATACAGTAGGCTAGTTGGTAGTTGACCCTAATCCCTCTGGAACATAATGCTCTTACTAACTGCCCCCCCCAAACCTGTACTCAGTTCCTTCCTAAAATGAAACTCTGGCTATGCTACTGGTTCAAGGATCTTTCTTATCCAAACCACAAAATCAAGACTTTAAGTGGTTTGATCAAACATTTTCTGGAACTCACAGTGTTTTCTCAGTGATTCTTTTCCGTACTCCATGAATTTGGTGAGCCAGTCCACACATTCTTTCTCCAGGTAACCCTTGGTGTACTGGTTCAGGATGGGAACATCATCCCATTTCCTTTTGGTTGGCAAAGCTTCTGGAACTGGAGCGATCCACCGCATGTTGTCATCATCAAAAGAGAGGAACTCTGACCCATCGTAGCTGTACTCATCAATGCCTCTCAGAAATCTGTGACTTCCATCTGCTTCCTCGATCTCACAGCCATGTCTCCACTGAAGAACATGAAGGTCTGATGGAAAAACAATGAGAACAAACAAAACAAATACATTTGCTGGCACAACATATGAGGAACCACAGTGGATGGAAAGAACCTGACAGATCACTAACCGGTCTGATTGTGTCTCATTCGGTCCATCAGGATGCCCACGTTGACCTTGAACCACTGCTCTTTGCTCTTGCGAGACTGGGTGCCTTTTTCCCAGTAATCTGGCTGCATCTTCTCCTTCATCCAGTCCTGCTTAGGAACCTTAACCTGTTCCTTACTGTTGTAGTAGTCGATCTCCCGGTCATTGAGCAGACCCAGTGCTGTGAACTCATAGATCCCTGGTAGAGCGACATCTTTGCTGAGGGCGGTGTAAATGTAGTACAGAGAGTGTTGGTCTGGAGGAAGAAAAGAAGAGAACTGCTACTTAGCATCAGCCTTACTGACGAACTCATTAACATTAACCCCAAAAAAACTCTAACATCTATTCACTGAAAGATAACTGGATATATTTAAAGGTATTCAATATAAAGAGCCCTAAAGTAATGATCAAATATTTAGGCACGACCATCAAAATGTGTAAAGATTTCTTCACAAATATTAAAATCTGTTTAACATCTGGGCTCAAGTAGAAAAATCAGCAAAGCACAACAGAGTAGTAAACAAAAGATTAATAAGTATCAAGTTAATGAGCCTTTGCCCTTTTGCTCTCTGACTGTACGAGCGTCTTCCCGGTCAGCATGTGTAATAAATGTGCTTTATAAGGCCTCCGCCATTGTTCGAGATCCATTTAACAAGGCGAGGGTAGAGTTTCACAAGCTTCACCGCTCTTGGGCGCCCCCTGTGGTGCGGTAACTTACTTTTCAGAGCGTAGAAAAAAAACATGAGACTTGCGCTCTCAGACATGAGCAGACCCAGCTTTTAAAATACTATCAAAAACTGTGAACACAGTGATTTTTATTGAATATTTGTCATACTGTGCTGCACTAAATCCAGTTAAATGGGATTAACTTTGCTCTCTATATGAAGATACGTGCTGTTCGTCGGTGTTCTACAAGTGCTAACTATATCCACCATATGTTCAGAAAAGCATACTGTATTGTATTACGATATAATTTATTACGATAATGATATCTATATGATATATATTGTCATATTGCCCAGCCCTATTAGATTATTTCTGGGGATATAAGCGCCAGCCATGTTCAGTAAAGGAAATTAAATGAGAACCTGCCCCCCAAAATGTCTGTGCACAGGCCTGATTCTGACCATCCACTGTGGCTTTAGAGAACCTACTGACCGATTTCTCTATGCTCATGTTTAACTTATGAACTTGGTACCACCAGAAACTGTGCTTTTGTTTAAATGTTTTTGAAAAAGAGGAACAGATTGTGAGATTAATTCAGTAGGCATGGTTTAGTAATTTAATAAGCAAATCTATGCTATTAAAAAAGTTGGCCTTAAATAATACAATATGCTTATTCCAAATAACTTTGGGGTAATCAGGACATGATGTCTTTATGCATTAAGTGTGCAATTTTTTAGGCTTGCACCTTAATTTGTTTTTGAAATATACAGGCTTTGATAAGTGGGAGTGGCCTTAATCCTTCTGTAAACCAAAATGTTAAAAAGCATTTTCCCTAAATAAAAAATCAATACATGAAATAGGAGGTAATCAATCAAACATGGGTTATTTTTAAACTTGTTCCAAATGAATTAGCTCATTCAGAGTAAAAGCCACATTCATGGCATTTTGTTTGTGTTTGTAGCAAAATGTTCCAAAATCTGTTACAACAAGTGAATGAATTTGCACATCAGGCAAAACAGAGCAAAACTCCCAGCACTAAAGAAGCACCCGCAGTGTTAAACTAGCAGCCAGAGCAGTCAGATAAAAAAGCAACACTGTAAGAGTGAAGTCAACACTTTCACTGTGAATTACTACAGTATCAAGCACTCTACTGTCGTCTGCACTATTAGGGGGCAGCAACAGTCACCACTGTTAGTTTAAATAGTGCTGAAAAAGAGGAGGCAAAGAAAAAGACACCAATAACTTCAAAGATTTCACTCAGCATGCAAACTACAGTACATAAAAAAACTAAAGAACATTAAACAGACTATTATATTTGTACGATTTTGTGCACTGGAATAAAAATAAACATGTAAAGTGGATTAAACTCTATATTAGTGAGCAAAACCTTTTGTGCTTCTTGTGGATTAAGACCAGAACTGGGTGATATTACAATATTTATCATTACTGTGATAAATTATATCACAATTCTGTTTACAAGCACTTAGTGAACATCATCGGTTCTTCTAGAGAAACACACAACTGCAGGTTTGATTACGGAAAGAGCATAATGATTATCTGAAATTAGTGCAGTGCAGCACGTGAATAAAAACTATAGTTTCGGACAATGTTTTTGAAAATCTGCCACCACTTCTTCTTTTTTGGCTGTTCCACCTTAACAGATAAACACTGTGACATATTGTGTATAGTAAAATTCTGTGAAATATTGTGGTATTTATATTTTTGTCATATCGTCCACCCCTAATTAAGAATGAAGCCTTGAACATTGCCTTGTTCAGGCTACAGTGTGTTAATGTTTTCTGGAGTGCCAGCAGAGGGCAGACTTGTCTAAGATGTCATTCTGTTGACAGGTCTCATCAGAGGTGTGTCAAGAATGTCACCAAACAGGACTCTAGTTTTCTTTCGTTTTCTCTAACATTGTTTGTGCCACCACAAAAACTTGCAAGTGTTCAGATCATTTTACAACGTTAAATCAGTCACGCTGACAGCCTTTATCTGCCCTTCTCACGCTTTGTTTTCTCAAAGTACAACAAAACTTTCATTATTTTCCCTTTATTTTCCTTTTTTTCTTTTATGCTATATTTTGACTGTTACATTTTTAATTTTCTAATCAATTATTCTGCTTATTTTGATGGTATTAGTTTTATGTATGTTTGCCTTGCATTTTAACTTGTATCACTATTTATGTCCAGCACTGTACTCAACTATTGTTGTATTAAATATGCTTTATAAGTACAATTAACTGTTTACTTACACTAAGTTTACAAGTTACAACTAAAATCCAGCTGGATTTCTGTCAGACTGAATCACCGATGATCACCTATGATCAAGCCCCTAAATCACCTACGGCCAATCTCTCACAAACAGATCAGAGATCAAATCCATTATATAATCCATATAATATCCATTACAATCCATTCTCCCTCAGTAAAACATTAAATAACATTAAAAAAGGAAGACATTCAACCAAGCAGGGTTTATATGTTTAAACAGTCTGTAATAAGTGATAAGTTAGAAGTCCACCCTGTGCGTCACAAGCAGCTGGACTTCGGACCGTCCTAAAACGTTGAGCCACACTTATCAGTTTTATGGTGTGATCTTTGTGTTCTACTGTAGTTTCACACATTTTGTTCTTTTATGTATTAAAATGCTTCAAAACCAGTTAAAACAAGCTGTGTCTTCAGCAGATCTGAAAGAAAGTGAGTGTAATAAACAGCTGAACTCACTGACTGAACTGTATTAACTCCTATTACAGGACTAAACCTAGGACTCAGCCAGAGAACATACAGTGAGAGTGAACTCAACACAGTCAATGTCCATGTTAATTCAGCTTTTAGGGTGAGTTGAACGCTTTAAGAGTGACTTCAACAGTGGAACAGCAGATCAAGAACTGGGGTGTTTTACTGTGTAAAACACTGAGTTACTTTCACTTTCAGAAAAAGTTCAATGTTGAGATTATTGTGCTGAATAAAAGCTGGACTCACCGCTGACCGCTGGCCCAACGACACCGAGCAGCACCAAAGCGCAGAAGGCCACTGGGGCCATTTTGTGTTGATCGTCTCAGAGCTCTTTAAGTCCTCTCAGTCCTCTTACCTGCGACAGTCTGAGAGCAGTGAGGCGGAGACACACACTTAACAGGTGCGGCTCAGAGAAACATAAGCCCTGACCAATCAGAGTATCAGTAACCAGGCAGAGTGAACAAAACAGGGTTTACAAGAAGGAAGTTAAAGCAGTGACAAAAAAACAGCTGCTGTTCGCATAGATGGATCAGTAGCAGAACAGAAACAGGACCTGTCTGTCTCTCTGTCTGTCTGTCTGTCTGATCTGTAAATTTATGTTTCAATACTGTCAAAGACTAAATACAAATACTAAATACATACTAAATACATAATACATAAATGTTCAAAAAGTTATGTTTTTGCTGTTATTTAATAATTAATAATGTTTTAATAATGTAGCTATAAATATTATGGACTAGACACCAAAATGTTTCTGGTGATTTCTTCAATATTTAAGTATTTTGGGAAAAACAAGAAAATATTAAACTTCATTTTGATATTAATTTGAACAGAAGTTTGTTCTGGGTGTTAATTTTATTCGAGCTCATTTTAGAATCATCTACAGCTGTTCATCATTCTGGACACATTTACATATTGATTGATTGAATGATTGATTGGTTGATTGCAGCTTCTTACTAATTGTTTGAAACCTGTAAGGCCTGAGTAGTTAGAAAAGTGTGTTTAAAAAGTGTTTTAAAATGCAGTTTACATTTAGATGTTATAAACAACACACCAAAGGGTATTTTTAGACATTTTATTCAATAGTTTTTCTTTGTGTACAGTAAGAAATTAAGTGATAATTAATA